TTAATCTATTTCTCGAAAAAATCTGTAATTTACTTTATTGTATCTTTCACTATGATTGTTTTTATATAATCATTCTATTTTTTGTCTCTTATGAGTAATACATGTATTAGGAAATATTGTTAATAGACAACAAATAGTTACAAATTAAAAAAAAAACTGAATTATTCCTGATATGTAATCACATAAATAATTGAAGTATTTATAATAATTTGATAGTTATTGTCACACATTTCAGCCCTAAGAGACCCCCTTTTCAATTTCCCCTCTATTATATTTGATTACATGTTTAGGTCAAGCAATGTCATGAATAACTATTTCATAATCAATATTGAAAAATTATTTGTGTTTACATAACAATAGTTTTTTATGAAAATAGTTTAGGATATATTGATTTATTAATATTATTATGTCATAAAAAAACTCTTATGTGATTAAATTATTGATCTGGAATGTTAATAATTTTTATCCAATGACAGTTTCATTATTTCAAAGTAATAAAATTATCAAAAATTAATCCTTTTTAATTATTGAATACTATAACTTTGTATTTGGTGACTCAATATAATAACCAAAACTAGGGTATGATCTTTATGTTGACAGAGATTTGTAAGAACAGTGTGTTTATTTCGTATATTATCTTGACTCAAGATCCTTAGGCAGCATTGTCAATTCTACTATGTGTGTGTAGATAGTGGATGGTATCAGAACTTGTCTATTTGCCACAAAAAACAATTCTACATAATTTCTAGAGATTTATGCCTTATTAGTCCAATCTTCAGAGATTTTATCCCCTAAAAATCATATGAACATGCTGAATTTTGCTGAGATTATCAATTTTGGGATCCCAAAAAAAAATGCAAAAAAGTTTACCACTTTTTCCCAGTGCTTCCATCTAAAATCCTCGTAAAGGGGTAAAAACTCAAAAAAAAATTGAATTACCAAGAACCTGTACACCATAGAAAAAAATATGTCAAATAAAAATTGTAGCTGAGATGATTTTGAACAAAAAAGTTCAGCACTTTTCTGTAGAATGAACCGTCCCCTCAGAAAAAACGCTTGAATCGACCGGCGATTGTGAATGTCAATTGCGCGCGCGAAATAAATGTTAAATAAAATGCATAAAGTCGACAGTAAAAATTCGATATCTTTTGATCAGAGTGTGCTATCGACAAAAAATGCGTTTTAAAGGTAAAAAGTGCAACTTTCTTGTGCAATTTTTGTATTTTGGCGCAAATGAAGTCAGTTTCTATAAATCTGTTCAATAAATAAATGTTGTGCATTTTTTACCATTTTTTACAATTCTCGCGAGATTAATAAAATATTAATTTAATTGACCAGTCATACTGAAATTTTGATTTTTGGAGACGCAAGAAACGCAAAATTTAAACTTTTACGTTACAAACGATTGCATGTCACAGGAAAAGAAGATGTTTTTGAGTGTAATTTGTAGCAGAAGATGGCTAGGTTTGAAAAACGTACTATTCTTTGTTTCAAGTTAAGAAAATAACATTACGCTTATGGAGATCAGTGTTGCCAAAACTCTCAGACACTCTCTTTTGCACGGATGTCCAAGATATTCCCTTTGCTTAATTTTTGGAATTTCATGTTCAATTAACATTTAACTGTAAAGTCAGAATAACTACTAAATAAAAGCCTTATTATCATTATGTAGTCAGAGAACGACATAATATCGCTGACATACACACATCATATTATTTTAAGTTGCAATTAGTAATTAGATATACATATTCCAAGCGGTCCGTTTATTTGCTGTTAAAACTGTAATAGTTAAATGCATGATTTAACTAAGCAATATTTTCTACTGATTTCTATGATTCATGGCATATGGTATTCTCACCGAAAAACAAATAAACTGTCGTTACTATAATTAAAATAAGATAAAATAAAATTATCTTTTGTAAATACTATTTATCTAATTAAAATCATTTTCCCTACTTTTCTCTTGTTTCGAATGGGCACTTTTGGTCAATTACGTTAAAAAACATTAATTTAATTCATGTCTGTGGAAAAGAAAATACAAATTATACTATACAACACTAAATAATTGTGCTTGTGTGTGTCGTGGCAACGCCGCGTTTCTATCGTCCATAAGAAATACATGGCCCTATCTCCGCAATGTTATTTTCTTAACGTGGAACGTAGTATAGTGTAAAGGAAAAAGAGCAGTTTTAAATGTTTTAGATCGTTTGTAGGTAATGTGAAAGTTTAAATTCAGCGTTTTTTAAGCATATTTCAAATGTCTCAAATTTGTTGCCAAAACTCAAAACTAAAATTTCATGTTGTAGGTTTTAAAGATAAGGCTCTAGTTATCGAAATCATACAGTGACCCGTTAATAAAAGGAATAAATTGTATTGGATCTCATGAGAATCATAAAAATTGGCAAACATCGCGCCACGTTTATTTAACGCCTTTATAAAAACAGTATAATTGCGGCAAAATACAAAAATTGCCTACAAAAGCTGCTGTCTTTACCTCTAAAACGCATCTTGATTTTTGTCGCTAGGACTCTCGGATCATAACATATCGAATTTTTACTGTTGAGTTGATATAAATTTTACTGAATATCAATTTCGCTCGCGTAACTGTCATTAAAAATTGCCGATCGCTTCAAGCTTTGTTTCTGGGAGAACAGTTTATTCAACACAAAAAATGCTTATAAACGTTTTTGTTAAAAATTATCTTAGCTACATTTTTTATTGGAAATATTTTTTTCTATGGCATACAGATTCTTAGTAAATCGATTTTTTTCCTTTTTCTCCCATTTACAAGAGTATATCTATATCACTTTGCTGTATTGGTGTTTTTTACTATATCTTGAATATATTCTAGCTATTTTAACCACTAACTTTAAGTGTTAAAGATAAAGTCTAGTTGCGACACCTGTTTTACTAAATAGAACCAGATATTGAGCAAGTAGATAACTTTTACTTACAACCAATAAGATTCCTACTGGGTGACTTCAACTGCCACAGTGTCATGTGGGGATATGAAGAGATAGTATCCAATGGCGAAGAAGTATGATATAAAAACTGTCGTAATATTTTAATAGTGTGGAAGATGGCACACAAAACACAACACAGACGAATAACTTGTCTTTACAGTGCGGCAATCAGATCGAAACTGTTCATTTCAGGATAAAGTTTAACTTCAATAAAGCAAAATGAGAAAATTTCATTTAACCTTTGGATCGAGAATTTTCCCACCCAGAACAGTACCATGGGTCATATGATAAGTTTGTACAAATTGTAAAACAAACATCACGAAAGTATATCCCGAGTGGTTCCAAACCGTAGACATAGCGGTTTTCAATGAAAAATCTAAACACATAGTTAAAATATACAAAAAGCTAAATGACCCTTTTTCGGAAGCAACAATATAAGCTGATTCTCAATCACACCCGATCAGATAGTCCACTGCCTCCTGATAAACGGTACGTCGCGATCCAGAAAAACAAAGTGAGATACAACGAAATATCGGCGAAGAAAGAGATGCTCTAGGTACATCCTTTAATCTGGAAGAAAATGAAGACAAATGAGGCAAATGAAAAATAAATCGGCTGACCTAGACAAAATACAAACAGAATAAATAAAGAACTTTGGACCAACAACCATAGAGTGGCTTGTATGAATGATGAATTGCTGAGTTCATATATTACAAATTCTCAAAATTTGGAGAAAAGCCAGGGTTGTGGTCTTTTTAAAACCAGTGATGAACCCGATGGATACAAAGAGTTTTAGATGTCACTCTATTGTGTCATCTTTTCGAAAAAGCATTTAACAGAAACAGAATGATACTGAACTGGGTTATTGACTTAGTGGAAACCAAGATCATTTCAGAGCAAGTAGGTTTCAAGTTGAGCCTAGATAGTCCTGCTGGCTATCCTTTAACCTCACTCAACACATTGAAGATGATTTTGAACAGAAAGAAATAATGGATTAAGTTATAAGGGGTTCTGGCAAAACTTGAAAACTCAAAATGGTCAAAGTAATGGGATCAAAACAATGGTTTGCTCGTTCTCACGCTGATACTAACAAAAAAAAATCTGAAAACTGATTACACAAAAACAAAAGTGTGTTCTTTTCATTTCAGAAACAAACATGCCTGAAGGACTGGACACTTCCACTGGAAGTGGCATGGCAAGGCCATATGCTTGAACACAAGACGCCAAAATACCTTGGCATTCAATTAGATAGAATCTTTAGATACAACCTTTACCTTAGCAATTGGCATTCAATTAGATAGAATCTTTAGATACAACCTTTACTTTAGCAATATGTCTTGTCACCACATAATTTAGAGCACCAATGTAGGCGAACTTGGCCCACGTCAAAATTGTTGACGTGAAACATTACATACTTATCAAGGAGCTTTACCCCATAGCTGGAAGCACCTGAAACGCTCCAAATAAACTTATGACAAGCGTCAACCATACTGTGTACTAGGAGGACTATTAATGCGATTGTGGTGCGATTCAGAGTAGATGACTTGTACAGATGAAGACCTAATTTTAGCAAATGACAAGGCCATCTATGTACCAGCTATTGAAAGTATAAGATTTAAAATTGATGGTGTTCCATACAAGGAAAATAAATAAGTGCAACTAGACTTTAGCTTGAAGTTGTTAATCTAATCTGGTGGCCAAGAGGTTATTGTTAAAACCATTATTAGTATAAATGTAATCTTAAAAACCACTTGTGGCTGTTCTAGTTCTAGATGGAACATGAATATACCCATGGGGGATCAAGTGATCATGTACCAAACTGTCAAATAGTTTTGGTTACATTTATAGACTTAAAATGAACTCTCTTAAAAGGCTGACTTTCAGCAATTTGATAAAATTCCGACAAAACGGAAAATATTAAACATGTGGTTTAAAGATTTGGAAATATTAAAACCAATTGACATAGAAAAGTGAACTGTGATTAATCCTATCATTATTTTGACCTAAAATACAACATGCAACTGTTTTCTTTTCCAGCCCTCAAATAGTCATACCAACCAACCATCAACAAACAGCTACTATTGTACCGACAGCTCAGCCACTACTTCTCAACCAGATGCCTATGCTAACTGCTCCTTCAGTTCAGTTCATTTTAAGGCCACAAACTGCTACCAAAATACAACCACAGATGCAGGCTGCAACAGCTACACCACAAGGACTGATCCTACAACCCAGTGGGCAACAATTGTTACAGATCCAACCGCCTAGGTCCCAACCTATGGTTAGGGTATTGACCAATGGTATGCAATTGGCGCCATCAACTACTACATATGTCACACAGGTAAGTCTTAATCTAAAAGTATATCTTAAAAACAGTGTCATTGATAAGTCACATTTACAAATTTTTTATGAATTGTTCTTAAAAATGTTTATTGAGTTTTGATACCTCTGAAATAGATACTTATGCTAACCTCAAGTTTTCTTCAGATAATGTGCAGCTTCTTTGGTGTAATACAAAGTGTGTTCCTGATTCTTCCTTCTATTCTAAGTTTGTATTGTTCATATTAGCTGTTTTAATTACATTTCCCAAATGCAAATTTTATTTTGCAAAAATTATATTTCAAACTTATCTATTTCTTTTACGCTGTTAAAAAAACATAGTTTTTGTTGGTTATATAAATGTCTGATAATTTTCTTCTGCAGTTTTAAAAAGTTGAAAGTTGAAAAAGACTATAGTTGAAATTTAGACAGTCAAAATAAAAGCCCTTGTACTACCTGCTTTTTTGGTTTTGGTTCAATCAAAGGCACACACTATGGTTCAATTGTAAATAATTTCTCTGTTTCCAAGTTATAAAATATTATTCAGCCAACCAAGAGTATATGTTGTTAAAAGTTTCTAAAATCTGAATTTCCTTTGTATAGATTGATGCGAAAGCTTGAAAATGATCGTTATTTTGTTTAAGAAATTTTTATCCCTATCCCAAACAGATTCTTTAAAGCATTAACATCTTTGAATAAACTTTGAAGAAATTTCACATAGCCTTTCTGGCTTAGTGATGTCTGCATACATCATCATAATTTTTGTTTCTATATATTATATGTATTGTTTTATTAAATTATTTTTAATTAAACTAAATTATTAATTCTATTAACTTTTTGTAGGTTGGTCCTCAACAGCCAAACAATGGAAGTGGTCTTGCTCAGCAAACATTGATGAATAACACTCCACCACAGCAAATACTTCAACAACAACAACATCATTTGAAGAAAAAGCCAAAAAGTAAAGCCAAGAAAAAACTAGACCTCGCAAATATAATGAAACTTTCAGGTATTGGCGATGAGGATGATATACAGTTTGAAAGTGATACTTCTCAAAGTGAAAGCGAACACAATTCTGTTCCCACAACTCCACAGGTAAGATAACAAATAATATTACTAAGTTATCAAAAACATTTTTTTTTTCAACGGATTCCTAGTGTAGTTTATCTTGTAATGAAGATGTGTAAACACACATGATATAGGTCCAGTGACTAATCTTTTGCGGATTATATCCTATGATCCTTGGCTTCAATGGGTATTGCCTCATTTTATGAAATACAGAAAGCCACACTAGTATATTGTGATGTGTATATGTTACCAGATGTTCACCCTTTCATTGAAATTAAGTGTCCTATATCTGATACTTGAAAATCAATGTCAATCTGCAAGAATATCTTATATGTAAACAAGGATTTCAGCTTATTTGACAGTCCATTCTTCTTTGACAATCCTGGATCTTTTAGGCAAAAATCCAAGTTTTGAGGTGAAATTCTGAGGGATGTTGTACCCTCGGATTGATATCAAATTCTGATCTTTCTGTGCTTGTTGTAGTTAATCATAGATGATGTGTCTCTGGCCTGCTATGAACTTGTTAGCGGTGATATATTCTTATTGCTGACTTTTTTCAGTATTGGAAACCAGATCTTGCTACATTCTACCAATGTGTTTATATAATAATAAGATAAAGGCTGCTCCTTTCATTTTCCTCTTTTTGCTATATGTTTCTTTCATGAATATTAATGATTGATGGATCTGTACATTGGACTCTGTGCTCTCATTATCTGATATCTGTCAAAATCTCTGTTGTTACTATTAGATTCATGTTTATTTATCTTAACAGTTAGTGGCCTTGAAGTTTCTCCCAGATAATAAATTGTTGCATTCACATGGTATTTTGTAAATGCACTTCTGTGATCTGTGATCTCTCCTCTGTGTTGTTGGGTTTGGTTTTGGAAAGAATAGATATATGTTTGTTTATACTTTTATGCAGTAATGGGTATTGGACTACTGTGTATAATCTTGTACTCATAACAAACTGGAATTTTACGAGGTCTTAGTGTTAGTTCCATCCATTCGTCAAAGTTAAGCTTTACCTGAAGATATTCAGTAGGTTTATAATCAATAGCTCATATATCTATGACTTCTGCGTTTTGTCCAGGTCATAGTGTCGAATATCTCCCAAGTGGATTGATTTGCCCAATTAAAAAAAAAAGAGTTATATACCAATTGCGTTTCAAATGAGAATGGATGTTGTCTTGCGTCCGGTGTTGCAGATACGTAATTACTAGGTATGTGTTTACTGCGATTTTTTAATTTTCGTTCAATGGCAGTATGTACTGAGTCAAATTCCATTTGAGTGTTACCGATTTCTTGGTATTTTTAGATTATTGATATATTATGAATCATTGCAAAATTAAGGAAACAGTTGGAAAGAGTAATGTTCCTATTTTAATTCGTGCAACTCGTAAGATGTGCTTGATACTTATGTGTGTCAATGTTACCTACAGAATGAGATGCACACACGTCTTTTTTATTTGATGAATAGACAAGTTTTTGTATGAAATTCTTCATTTCATACAAAACTAAAATTTCCTAACTGAAAAAGATGTAATGTTTTTTTTTACGCAATTTTCGTTGTAAAGTTTTGAAAAGGTGCTCTTTTGACTTGTACATAGGCTCCATGAACAATTTACTTGTATTTTGCCTTTTGTAATAAGAAGGCATCTTCGGTAGCCAGTCAAAAAAATTATTTAAACTTTTGTATTGTTTTTGTTTCTGGAACAGTTTTTTCTAAGGTTTGTATTTTGATTATCCTGGAAAGGCTGGATACAACAAAAACTTTGTTCAGCTATGACTGAACGGTAAATGAGCCTAATCCTGTTGTGTTTAAAAACAAGTGCGGCATACTGGAATAGTTATTGTATTATCATCTTCAATGAGCAGTGAAAATTTTAGGGTGTTGCTTCTATTCAAATTGCCGGGTATCGCTTTTAGTACTGTACTTTTTTTCTGTACACTGGAGTTATACATGAATATAAGACAAGCATAAAAATAATATCAAATTGTACTAAGGAATATTAAAGTACTTATATTTTCGAGTCGTAGCGCTGGTATGCACTAATCCCATATACAAATAGCAGGCAATGAAAGATAGGAGATAAGAGGAATAAGGAGATAGGAGAATTTCTAGAATTTGACAGTTATTAGAATATAGAATATATTTCCATTAACCGAAATTTAATATTGATGACTTGATTTAAGATGGAATGTCTTGGCATGCGGTGACTTTAATAATTTTATAACAGATGGCGTTAAAAAGTAATTTTGTCAAAATTTCGAAGATAAGAGGTATTGGTAGTAAGCAGATGATGTGTTGAATATTTTAAATGTTGTGATGTATTTATTTCCTATCCTTTTTAATTATTCTGATGAGCCTTTTACATATTATGGTATTGTTATTGTCCTAAAATCCTTTCTGGTGATTGTTCAAGAAGGAGAAAGGTGGTGAAAGCTCACTCAGAACTTATCATCATCAAAGTCCCCCTGAATACTTAGCATTATATGGAGGATGTTTTGGCAGAAACAGTTATTCCAATTGTTCTATTTATATTATTCATACTGCAATATTCTTGACGAATTACTTGGAGTAAGTGGAAGTCAATACTGTAGAATGACCAGCCTGCTTTCCTAAGCTGAAAATCATTGAAAACCTTTGGGATGTACTTCAGAACGTGCGTCGTAAAGATTAGGAAATATATTCCTCAGGATCTTATTCAAAATTTGTTCTTTTCTATTCCCAATTGTATACAAGTGATTAAACAGTAATTTTTATTATTTGATGTTCATTTCTCTGTTACACTATTTCCGTTTGTACCTTTCTAATTAAATAAATTATCATCTGCCAATCCCATCAGCTTCAACTGTCTATTCAACTTACAGTGTCCTGTTAACAGACTCACTATGGATTTAACTGTTTTCCTGTCATATTTTGGACTTTTTTACTTGTCTTTGTCCTGATAAGTTCCTCCATCGTTCCAGAGATTTGACTGGTACACACTTTATTGTAACCAGTCTTGTTACTGCCTTTGTAACTCTGCAGAAGGGTTCCGGTCCAACGAATAACATTGATGAGCCTGTTTGACCATTTCATCAGCTGTTTCATTGCCTTTATGACTGTCGTGCTCCGGTAGCAAGGTTATCGTAAGCTTGCTACAGTCTCCTGGTTTATTTAGGACACCCACACAATCCCATACTAGCTTAGAATTGACCTCTACAGAATTGAGCGCCTTACGTGCTGCCTGGCTATCTGTGATAGCAGTTAAATTGTATGTTGACTGATTTTATAATACTTCCACGCAGTGATGAATTGCTGATATTTCCTCCTTGAAAGTTGTGACATCCTAAGATAGACTTTCTGGGAAGTGTATCCCTTGCTTTGTCCCTACTATACTGGCTCCTACACCCTCTGATATTCTGATAGAATATTTCTTAACGATAATTTAAATGGACCTTCTTGAAAGATATCGCTAGGAATCAGATAATTTATGTAGTTTTTGCGAGGTGGAGATTCACCTCATTTTCACATCTTAAAAGTTTTTTAGAAGAATCTGATAGAGTCCGATCGTCTACTCTTTATAGCAAAACTTTAATTATGTAGCATTTAACTAGCCTAATTTTTCTTCTGTTGACCTCGTATTTGATATAAACATGTCGTTGTTTATTGTATTTTTAATATTTATCTTTAGGCGTTAGAAGTTTTTACTACCTATTGTGCTACGATTTTTATGTGTTTAATTATTGGTACTTAAAAAGTCAGTCTGGGTTATCTGGCGATCCATGTAAATAGAATCTGATTTATTACGGTTCTACAGTATTTTATTACAAAAAGGCCAGTAAATTGCTTAAACGCTAATGATGACCCCTTCAATTTTTGAAAATTAAAAAGCGATATTGTTTTCGTTTTTATATTAACAATAAGTACAAAGGCTTGAAAAGACTCGTGTACAAAATACGAAAAAATAAAAGTATTGCTTTATTAACACATTCATTTCACACATTTTTATTGGCTACTTTGAATGAATTTATTTAACCTACTTTTTATTTGACTCTAGATATTTATATTTACTTTTATTTCAGCCCCAACAAGTAGTTCATAGTACAGTGCAGGCTCAAACTAACTTTGTTCATACTGACACCAAAAAGAATATACAAAATATACAGATTTCCGCTATGGCGCAGCCGACAATAAATGCAGCAACACCAGTCGTGCAGGTAACACTATTAGCTGTCTTTTATTTTAAGAAATATATTTAATTATATTTAATTTGAATTTCAGGTGTTAAATCAAAACTTTCAAAGTGGCATGATCTCGAATAGTACTTCTCAGGCAGCTACGGCACAAGCCGGTATTCCTTTTAATTCCTTTATAGCCCCAAACTTTACTATAAATAATGGCCTAATGCTTCAAAGAAGTGGCGGATTTAAATTAACTGTCGGAGAAGATGGTCGTCTGGTACTGCAGCATGACCCGACTATTAATTCAGATTTACAATCTCAGATTATTCTACAGAGTCTATTGGGGGGATTGGTTTTACAACCTTCCATGGATCAACAGACAGTGCAACAAACTGTCCAAACTATTCAGCAACAATCAGTGCAGACAATACAACAACAGACTGTGCAAAGTCAAACGATACAAACTGTTCAACAACAGACTGTTCAGCCGCAAACAGTACAGCATACAATACAATCATTGCAGCCTCAAATACAGCAGCAGACTGTTCAACAAACTATTCAACACCAGACTGTTAATGCTCTGCAACAACCTATGCAAATAGTTCAGCCGCAACCCATACAGAGCATACACTCTCAAGTACAACCTATTCAACCTATCCATACTATGTCGCAGTCACAAGTACACAGTTTGCAGTCGCAGATACAAGGCCAGATACAAAGTCTTCTACAGCAGCAGAATCACATGGTACATTCACATGTACCTACCCAAAATGTTCACTCACAGACTATGCAAAGTGTCCAAAATGTTCAGAGTGTCCAGCAAAACGTACAAAATATTCAACAGAATGTACAGAGTGTACAACAAAACCTTCAAAGTGTGCAGCAAAATGTGCGGAGCGTACAACCAAATGTTCAGACTGTACAGCAAAATATTCAAAGTGTTCACCCACAGCCAACACAATCTCCTGTACAGAATATCCATATAAATCCATCACATACACAACCTGTTTTAAAGGTGCAACCTTTCCAAAAGTCACAACCTCCAGTACAAACTGTTCAACCTATACAACATCACATTAGCCATCAGCAACAGAGTCAACAACAGCAGCAGCAACAGCAACAACAGAACTTGAATGATAACCAACAAAATCCAAGCAACCCACCTCCGGCTTCCTATGTAGTTAATTTGACACCCGATCAATTAGAGCAGCTAAAAAGAAATGGTCAATTGACTGTTAACGGCCAAACGATTTTCATGCAGCGTCCAAATAAAGACCAGATAGAAAAGAAATTATCGCCTAAATCAAAAACTCTGAAGAAGGTTAATAAAATTCAGAGTATAAAGAATATTCTACAGGAAACGGATAATGAGCCGGTAAGTTAAATTATTTATGATACTTTGGTATAGCTTTTACAGAGATCGAAAGCATTATTTCTATCTATGGTTTGTTTTTTAACCAGGAGGTGTAAACAAAAAAGACAGATTCACACCCAAGAAAGTTACTAGAAAAGTCACCAAATACATCCTTTTTGGTTGATTATCTCGGCCTTGCGGTAATCCAGTAATCAGTATCGGATAACCTCATACGTCGATTCTAACCTAACTTTGTTTATGTTTGAATAATAATTATTTTTCAATTCACTTCCAATATTTTTTGTTTTTCTAATTAAATCACATTACATTAATTAATTTAAAAAATAGATACAATAGTGCATATGTAAGATCAAGAAATATTGTAGAAAAGCTGTTTGGAACCTGGAAAGACAGTTTCCTTCTTTTCAACAAGGTCTACAATCCAAATTAAATACATCTCTTGCAATAATATGTGCTATAGCACTATATATGTTGATGTGTCGGTAAATAGAAATGTTAGTGATGTGGAACAATGTAGAAGACATTTTATTCAACAATTTTTTTGCATGAGAATGAGAATACTATTGAATATCATATTAAATGTTTTTTTGTCTGTTATTTCTTAAAATGTCATCATGATCATTGGCTCGACAACTCTTTTTGTTTGGGTTTTGGTTTCTTCAGAATACTTACTTGTCCATTCCAATCTATTTCACAATTTCTTCTTCCAATTTTTTATTTTTAAAATTTCGATGACTTATTCTAAGTATTTGTTCCTTACCTATATCTATACTTGGTCTTCCTCGTGTTATGTGTCCAGCTGACATTTATTTATTTTGGAAAGTATTTATCTTTTTCCATCTTTCCTCTTATTATGTGGTCCTATTTTGATGAATGTTAGTTTACATTATGACCAGAGTTTTTTTGTAATGTATGTATTAACGAAACTAATATATTTTTATTAAAAATGTATAATAATAGATAAATTAACATTTTTTTAATCTAAAAACCTATTAACTAACAAAAAACATGTGTTACCTAAATGTAACGCTAGATCATTATAGTATCGTAGCTAAAATATAATAAATTCGTAAGAAAGACAAGGAAATTTGTATTAAAACTAGAATGTCTTCATATTTAAAATATAATTATTGCGGTCAATACACATGCAGACATCACATTTGCTACACATTGTTCGAGTACTACTGCTACACCCCTCAATTTGCAAACATCTAAATGGTATATTGTTTGTTCTGAAAGTTTTTAAAACATTTCAAATTTGGTGGACGGTTTAAGTATATTATAAAAATTTATGGACTTTGAAAATGCAGTTTCCTTATACATAAAATGCAATTTTCATCTCTTGTACAGCAATTAATAAAAAAATAGTATTAGCAATTAATCTTACTGTGGAAAATTTGTAGTTTTAGTGCTTCATTACATTGATTATTAACTGGGAAGTTCACGAAGCTCATGATTCTGATCCATTCATTGCATTTCTTCATTACAGTTTTCTATTATTTAAAAAATAATTAATCAAAACTAGTTAATCCTCTAAATGTATTATTGGTAAAGCATATGAAAGCCAACTCAATCCGCTTTACCGGTAACAAACCTTCAGGGTTCTCATTTTTTAAGTAGAGTATTATGAAATTTTCTTACAGTTTGCATCCATAATCAATAATTATCGGTATTATCTTACATTTTTATATTTAATATAAAAATTCAAATGTAATTTAGGGTTTTTAAATACATAGATATGGCTGCGCGCATGTTTTTATTAAGTCTCACTAATAATGAGTCGGTAGGACCAAATACCTTTTACAAAAAGGGATGTATTTTTTATTACTTTTTTTATTTAATTTTATGGTATTTTGTCAATCACTGGGTACTTCTAAAAGAACATTTAATTAAATCAGTTTCAAAAAAAGAATTTTAACCCTCAAATACCTAATGAAAAGCTTCTCAAATCATTTTCCTTTATATTTTAGGTCAAACCAAGCAATAATTTGGAGCCAGTCAAGGAAAACGTTAATAAATCTTTAGTTAGTGCCTTAAATGCACCACCAAAACAAGTTCTACCTCAAAATCACATTCAGCCTCAACTCCTACAGCAAACCAAGCCTGTGCAACCGCAGGCGATGGTCCAACCTTCAGTACAGGTGCAAGTGCAGCCCAAAACAACGGCATCTGAAAGATCGAAGCCTGTTGCCCCTTCACCAGCCATTCCTCAAGTTCCTAAGCAGCAAAAGGTGGCACCTACTGTCATATCCCAGGATTCTAATGGTAAGTATGTCTTATTGTGATATTTTTAAGTTATATCAACGCTTAAATAGAAAATGACTACAGATTGAAGGACTTTTTTGTAAATAAAATGGTATTTGGTGAATATATGTAGTTAAAAATAATTTGGAAAGATTTATGGTTTGCAAGTTTGTTGCGAGTTTTTTTTTATTTTGAAAAAGGTACATTTCACGATTGTTAGAGAATAGTAAAACCTCAATGCTACGATTTGTTTGCCAGAAAATTGCTTAACTTCGCAAAAACAACCGGGAATCGTCGCATCCTTTGGCACCAGAATAATGACAGCTCTCACACCGCTCATATATCATCCTGTGAGCCATCCTGTATACATTTCTGATTTGGCACCGTGTGATTTCTTTGCGTTCCGAGAATCAAAACCAAGATACGCGGTAAATGTTTTAAGACGCCAGATTAGGAGGTCAAAGCATACAAAAATCCCATTTTTGAGATACCCATTTCGGACTGCCTTATATGCTTCGATGATTAGTTTGTTTGAATGTAAAGTATATTGATGTTTTCCTTCTATGATTTATGCACAATCTCAGTCTGTCCAAAGATTTTCTTCCAGCTCTTGTTCTCTTATTTCCCGGTTAATGCCTTCTTTACTCCTAAAAAGAGGTCTTCCCCTTTTTCTTCCTCTTTGTCTATTTGACGTCATTTAATTATTAACAATCATACAGTAAATTTGTTTTTTATTAAATAACTTACATTTGCAGGTAGTAACACAAACCCTGACGTGGATAAAATCCTCGTCCAAATACTCGAAGAATCGAACATGAACAACGTACCGAGCGGCACAAATATAACCCCTCCAACGACTCAACCCCAACAAAGAATCACTACTATTCAACTGACGCCACAGAAGCAGCAACACCTGCGCAATATTCAAATGCAAATACAGACGTTATCTGCTAGATCTACTCCCGCTGATACGGATATACAGAATACTTTGAAGATGTTGTTTACCGAACAACAGAAGATCTTGGCTTCTGGAAAACTGTTACCACCAGAAAAGGTAAGTGTTCATTATGTATTTTTCTTTTCTTTCATTTGAGACTTCTACAAGAAAACAGCTAATTATTGGTTAAACTGCTAAAATAGTTTGTTAGCCAATTGTGAAGTATACCTTTCTTTAATGGGGAACAGGGAATTTTAAATAATTCTCTTATTGTAAAATAATTGTTTGTAAATTGTTTATTAATACACTCACGACATGTTTCACGGTCGCATCAAAGTTGATAGTCAGTAGAAATATGTGTCTATAGCCGTAACCCCGTTATTAGATATAAATTGAACATTTCGCATGTAAAGCAAATCACTCCTGCATTTATAAGTTATCGGTGTCAGGCCTACCTCAATATTTTATAAGGAGTGATGTAGTTAAATTACCAATAAACATATCTTTTCAACAATATATTAAATCTGTTTACGAAAGTATATATTAAAGAATTTCTACTATCACATCTGCCTCAAGTTGTCTTCATAACTCAAGTACCAACATGACATGGCGACCCTGCAACTACAGAAGCGAATCTTTTGATCCGCAGAAGAAAAAAAAAGAAGTATGGAAAATAGAAACTGAAAATGGGAAAATGAGGTAAAGTATGCATCCCCAAAATACTTAATGCCTTTTCACTATTTTTATTGGATGGAACTTGATGTATCGGAACAGACACCACATCAGCCAAGAGATCCGTCAAGTCATAGAAACTACATATAACTTTTGTTTCGATCAATAAAGATGAGTTTTATTGTCCTTTAGCTGCTTAACATTGAAAAGAATCTTATCACCGCCGTACCTCACATGGCAGTCATAATCTAGGATTGTTAGAAATAAGGAATACCCGATCGGATACGATGCAGTCTAGTTAGTCCAGATTTTTGAAAATAACATTATGTTCCAGAAACAAATTTCTTTAATTTGTTTTATTGAGGGTGGCATATTATGCACTGGAAGACATGATTGTCTTTCTTTTCTCTCCAAAAGTCCATCTTCGTTCACACTAGTTGGAGTGATTCCCGCTTCAAGTCGAAAAAAAAACCGCGACAGAGAAACGCGGCTTTCTTAAGCACACTTCCCAATTGGCGGAGCGCCATCTACTTTCGATGACAGAAAATAGTTACCAATGTGTGTGGAACTGAATTACGTAATAACCGTTAAAATATTTTGCAATTCCGGTCAGATTTTTGTACAAAGTAAGATTTTTGTAAATACTTGGTAAATCAGATTCCCAATATTGTTTCACGCATATTCAGGACATTACAATCTGCAATAATTCATCGATAGGTAAAGATATGTGAATGATGCGGAGAATGTGTCTCATAGCGATATGAAATGAAGATAAATCTAATAATTCTACAACATTTATCTAATCATAAATCTCTGATGTTTACATATTGTATTATCAGACTTATAGTTCAGGCAGTAAAATTGGAACATGTTACAATTTCTTTTTGCAATAACCAAAAATAGGCTTGTCTAAATCGCACGAAACAATTTTACCAGTATTCTACTTACTTCTGACTTACTTTACTATTACTTCTGAACCTACATTTGCACCATGTTGCCATATTAGGGATTAACATTTTGGTCCATTGAGCCTTTTGTGCCTCCCATTCATTTTGCCATATTTATAGCATATGTGATCTTACTTCGGATTTTATTTCTGGTAGATCACCGTTTTCTCTGTTATATAGAGTTTCTCTTTCTTTACGTAGGGAGTGAATGGGGAGCTCACCCGTTATAACCTGCAGGGGAGTCGTAGAAGTAGTCCGGTACACGTTGCTAAGTTTAATAGGGGCTATCTTTACGCCTTTGTAAGCAGTTCTTTATATTTAGTCATTCTCAAGGCTTCATAGCATATGGGGGCACCATATAAAAGTGTAGAATGTACAAGCTGAAGGTACATTCTTCTTTTGAGGGTAATTGGACCGCCGATGTTTGGCATAATTTTTATTAATGCCGCGGTTCTCTTTTCTGCTCTATAGACTATTTTCATCGGGTGCTCTGTAAATCTTAGACCTGTCTAGTTGAATGGTCAGATATTTAGCACAGTACATATGCTCTATCCTTGAACTACCCATAACAAAACTCAGATTTGGACGGGCTCTACGGCCTTTCAAGATATGAATTTCTGTTTTTTCTGTCGCCAACTCTAGATCTAGTTTTACCATCCATCTGTTAAATTTTCTGCAGCTTCTGTTGACTAGCATTTCTAACTCACAAGTTGTTGTTACTTTGAATGAGCAGAGCTAGATCGTCTGCTTATGCAATAACTTTGCTCTCTGCTCCATAGTTAATTTCTAGCATTTCATTATATAAAACTTTCCAAAGCACCTGCTGATACCTGCTGATGTTTTCAGGTCTTTGGGTTTTGTCACTTTATTGAGGTACTTAATTATATTAATCAAATAATCTGACACATTTGCTTTTTCCAATGCGGTGATGATATGACCACAGTTGGCTGAGTTAAATGCGTTTCTCACATCAAACATCACGACGTTGGCCCATTTCTTCCTCGTCTTTTTTACATTGTCAGTTATTTCTTTTACCGGATTGATGGAAGATGGTCGAATTTTTAATTAAAATTTTCATAAAATTTCCCCAGACTGTCTAGAAGGCTGATCGGTCTCTAATAGTTGGCAGTCTTGGGGTCTTTGCCCGGCTTAAGTATTAGCGTCAGTCTTGCCTCTTTGGGAATAATTTGCTTCTGGAGGAGTTGATTGAAGATTGTCCGGACCATCTCAGGATATATCTCTATGATTATCTTTATCGCTTCAGAAGGCACACCATCAAGACCAGCTGATTTTTCTAATGTAATACTTCTCGTCGCCATTGTTATTTATTCAGACGAAAAATCGTCATATCGAACGATGACATTAATTGGAGTCAACTTTTGTGGGAGTTTAGCAGGAAAAACGCTGTTTCCTTCCGTTTTTTTTTTTGTACAAATGTTGTATGGGGTATCTGTCCTTAATATTTTTGTGGTAATCCTATAAGCTTCGCCCCGTATATCGTCTTCTAGTGCAATTCATAGGTTCTGCCAGCAAGAATTGCTTTGCCCGTTTTATTTTTTTACTCAATTCTTTTTTAGCTCGCTTGTAATTTTCAATGTGTTTTGGGGTTCTTGTTCTTAACCTTTGTACCCTTCGCCTGAGTCTAAAGCATTCGGCTCTTTTGCTCTTGATCTCGTCATTCCACCAGTATGGAACTGTAAATGTGAAGTTCTCAGTGGAGCTACTTGAAATGAATGCGTTAATAATTTTCTGTCTGAAATCTTGGAACTGGGTACTATCGTCTTCTTATAGGTTACTTATCTCCCTCGTATAAGCTTCTTTATTGAAGGTTACTTTTTGCAATCGATCTTGATACCAGTTTCAAAGATTACGTATCTGTGAAAAATGTAGAGATTATCCCCCAACACATCTCAGCCCACAATCTTCCTGACATCACTTTCATTCTCAAGGGCAATATATATGTGACTTCAACTCTCACCTCTCACAAATATGGGTTTTCCATTGTTTAGCACTACTAGGTCATTTGGAAATATCCAATCTTTCCACATCTCCCTTCTATGGACGTTTGTGGGAGACCCTCATATGATTGATTTGGCATTTACGTCGCCAGCAAGTATAACGTCCTGATGTGTTTGGGACGTCATTATGATATTCTCGACCTGTTTTTTTGTAGCGCATCAAGTTGATGTTAGGTAATATGTAGCAAGCAATGGTAACCAGACTTCCTGTTTTAACTAACATGTTTGTACTGGTTAGAGGATTAACGGACCATTAACGGCCTTTAGATTAGATTAGATTAAGAGAGGTGGCCTTTCGGCCTATTCCACTGCGACCTTTTCAGATCTATTGTGGCCCTCTAGTCCTAGACAACATTCTCTAGCCTGACCCTCTTTATAAAGTCTAGTAGCTTCGAGACTGTACCTTCCATGTAGCTGTTTGCCGGTGGATTTTCTTCTTCTAATGCAAAAAACCGCACATTTGCCAGACTGTCACACTGACATAAAATGTGCTCTGCCGTTTCTTCTTCGAGGTGACAGAATCTGCACAGGTCATCATCTGATAATCCCATTAGCTTCAAGTGCCTATTCAGCTTACAGTGCCCTGTTAGAAGACCTACTATGACTTTGACTGTTTTCCTATCTTTGCTAATTAGGTCTGCCGTAAATTTTGGCGAATGTTCTCTAATGAACTGTTTCGCCTGTCTTTGTCCTGGTGAATTCATCCACCATTCCAGAGATTTGTGAGCTACCCACTTCTTTGTAGCCGTTCTTGTTACTGACTTTGCAACGCCGCAGAAGGGTTCCGGTCCAATAAATGGCATTGATGAGCCTTGTTTGGCCATTTCATCTGCTTTTTCATTGCCCTTATGATCCTCGTGCCCCGGTACCCAGGCTACCGTAACCTTGCTACGGTCTCCTAGTTTATTTAGGGCACACACGCAATCCCATACTAGCTTAGAATTGACCTCTACAGAATTCTTTCCTGCCTTTCTATTTCTTCCACACAGTGATGGATTGAAGTTATTTCCGCCTGGAAAACTGTCACAACCTTAGATAGACTTACCGGAAAATGTATCCCTTGATTTGTCCCTACTATGCCGGCTCCAACACCCTCCGATGTTTTTGAGCCATCCGTGTACCAGGTAGCAGCAGCTTTTATGGGCCTTTAGTTTACTGGTAGTTTTAATATTTTATCTATTAATTTTCTGTCATAAATTAATTTCGTTCAGGAAGCCTTATATGTTTAAAATACACAGAAAGGCATGTTTGTACTGGTTAGAGGATTTGTTGTATTCTTTGAATTGACAATCGTTTGAATTGTGATAATTATTTCTATTTACAAATATTATCTTTCAGGTGTACTACCACAACAATCAGCTTACTATTGTGAATCCGTCCACTCTAAATATGTCTCCACCTGCACCGGTCAAGCACGATCCCCCGCAAAGTTCCAACCCAGGACCTCCTGTTGTAAGCAATAATCAAACTCCAGCGAGGAGTACCAGTGTCGAAACTCAAGCTACAAGTACCCACCAGG